TCACAGCGTGAACCGCGGCCCGGGGCCTACCTAAGGACAACCTTTCCCAGCTGTGAGGGCAATATCCCGGGGCTGGAGACTTAGAGACAGGCATTGACAATCCAATAAACTCTTTCCTAAAGGGTATGTGCGAAGTCCACATTTGAAAATTGCCCGGTTGGACCAAAAAATTTGTCTCTAGAGAATTGTCACATGGTTGAGATGTATGCAGAAATTCACCGTTTATTGCACCGTTAAGCATTTTAATGCGTGTGTGATGGAAAGTCATTTACAAAACGTTATCTAAATTCGGAGCACGATGCGGCACTTTCCAAATGCAAGAGAAGGCCAGTCTGACTTTTGTGTACTACAACAATAGGACAAAATTCCTACTCATTTCCTCATTTCACTCACTAGTAGGAATATGCTCCAAGTGTGTGACTTTCCAACTGAACGGGTAGTACAAACGTGTGTCCTATCTTTCATGTGTTGGAATTTTCGTCCTTTACTCTTGCATTTTAGACAGTCCCTTAGAGACTGTCTTTACCCGAAGGAAAAATCCCCCCCCCCTCTACTCCCCCCCTTGCTATCTACAGCGCAGCGAGTGGCGACCGGTGTGTGTCATATGTGTGAGTGTGTGTGTTTTTAGAGCATGTGCCTGTTCTACTTCTTGGTATTTGAGGTTACGTCTTCCTACGTGCAACATTCAATTTGACTTAAGAGAACCATATGTCAGTCATCGTTGGCATTTTGAGGCTGCCAGTCACGAGACGAACTCTGGAGACGTAGACGTCCTCAAACCGTGGGGTTAATTTCTTCCGCGTAGTCTGTACCGGCACGCACCGCCGTGTTGCGGGCTTGCCTACTCGCTCGCGTCGCAGGCGTCGTGGCGATAGACTGGGCTGCTGCTGCACAGAATACGGAGCCACGACCCCTTCGCCTACACTCTAAACACTGTGGTCACCTAGCTTGCCAACAATTTGTTTTGATTCTCAAAATTAGGTCTTCCAAGCGGTCAATGTTTGGCCTTTGACAGTCTCCAACAGACGGTCAAAATTTGGTAACACTGTGAATAATAGTCGTGGGCTTACGGAAATATTTTCCATGATGTGTGTTGTAAAATTCGAAAATGTAGATTTACTAGCACGTCGCACTGACTTGGAATTGTTCGACAAGAAAGAATGGGCAGTCGCAAATCTACAACCTATTTTGTAAGTAAGAATTATGTCAAATATTGTATATATACGAGGATATTTTTCACAGTGTCATCAAAGAGAGTGCAAAAATTTTGGACAGCAAGGGGACCACGGCGTGCAGAGTGTACCACTCCCACTCCGAACTATCCCCGATCCTGATCTACCCCCTCAAAAGTGAAAAGCAAGTGCATTTAAACGAGAAAATCCTCTTTTGCTTGTCTGTCCATTCTGAAGACGCCTATAGAGGGGCCGAGAAGAACAAGTGGCTTCACGGCCGCACTGTATTGACTTGCGATAATGCAGTCTTGCGATGCGATGGCCTGCTGCTGACGGCGGCTCTCACGCTGCTCGCATGTCTGAAAAGTGGCAAGAGAAGCCGCGAGTGGAGGAAACAGTGCTGCTGCCGTGGCTGCCGCACCGAGTAAGTCATTTGTCGAGCAGCAGTTTATACGGCGTGATATTGTAATTTGAGGTTTTGGCTGGGGCGGGGCGGGGCGGGGCGGGCGTGCGCGGGACGTACGAGATTACTAGAAGAAGAAAGTAATCAGCAGAAGTGTGCGCGGGAGCCGATAATGCGGCGCTAAGCCCGAAGGACACATATATGGTCACTGATTGGACATGATTGGGGCAGCGTGGGCTGGGCAGCCCCGGCGGCAGCCCCAGCCGGCCCCAGCCCCGCGCCGCCACTGTACACTGCCACTAGCCGGCAGCTATTTGTCGTGGGAAGCTTTGGATTTCGGGTCTCACGCGGGGGATGCGTTTATCATCATACAAACGTCTTCGCCGCCCCGCCGTTTGTCAACGGAGCGAGTCATTGGCCCTCGACGTGCTGAAACGAGAGGATAATGCAATAAATTGGACCGCGGTGTGTGGACAAAATACCGTTTGTCATTTCGAAAACTATTTCTTTTTGAAAGGGTGTTTTTGGCTTCGCTTCTAATCGAATCAAATCGAATCAATTTAGAAGCCTATGCTTTCACTCTTGGGCCGGACCAGACCGAACTCCCAGGCAAACGTATGTAAATGCTGCCAACCTGACAAACTTTTAAGTACTGTGTAATTAGTCATATATCAGGGTTAAATTGTAGGAATGATGTCATAAAACGTTATTTTATTGTAATTCTTTTATATAATTGTGTAACCTGAGCGACTTTTGCTCTTGCATTCTCTGAACAAGAACTTTCGTTTTGCTGCTGTAATG